CCTCCTCCACCCCTCACCCCTCCCCACCTCCCCTCACCCCTCCCCACCTCCCTCACCCCTCCCTCACCTCCCCTCACCCCTCCCTCTATCCCCTCCCCCCCCCTCACCCCTCCTTCACCCCCTCACCCCTCCTTCACCCCCCCTCACCCCTCCCTTCACCTCCCTCACCCCTCCCCACACCTCCCTCACCCCCTCCCTCACCTCCCTCCACCCCTCCTTCACCTCCCTCACCCCTCCCTCCCCCCCCCCCTCACCCCTTCCCTCACCTCCCTCACCCCTCCTTCATTCCCCTCACCCCCCCTCACCCTCCCTTCACCCCCCTCACCCCTCCTTCACCTCCCTCACCCCTCCCTCACCTCCTCACCTCCTCCCCTCCACCCCTCCTTCACCCCTAACCCCACCCCCCAACACCTCCTCCCCAACCCCTCACCCAACCTCCTCCCCCAACACACTCCTCCCCCAACACTCCTCCCCCAACCTCCTCCCCCAACACACTCCTCCCCAACCCCTCCTCCCCATACCTCCTCCCCCAACACACTCTCCCCCAACTTTGCTCCTCCCCCTTGCTCCTCCCCCAACACCTCCTCCTGCCTTTGCTCCTCCCCAACCTCCTCCCCCAACCCCACCTCCTCCCCAGCCCATCCTCCTTAACCTCCTCCCCTTTATCCTCCCCAACTTTGTTCCTCCCCAACACACTCTTCCCCCAACCTCCTCCCCAACACCTCCCTCATCCCCTCCCAGTCATTCCCACCTCATTCTCTATTTCGTCCCCTCACACCTCCCCTCCCTCTCCCACTACCTCCTCCGGCTACCCTCCTCCCCAGCTCCCCCCTCCCCTCCCTGCCTCCCCCTCCTGCCCCTCCCCTTCCCTCACCCCTCCCCCCTCCCGCCCCTCCCCCTCCCCTCCCCCCCCTCCCCTCCCCCCCCCCCCACACCAGGGAATATATCCTGGGATACTGAGTTAATTGCCTGAGGGAGATGTGAGACCTTGTGAAAAAGAGAGAGATACTAGCTAATCTGGCCCATCACAGTCTAATGATTGTGTGTGTGTGTGTGTGTGTGTGTGTGTGTCGTGTGTGTGTGTGAGAGTTAGTGTGTGTGTGTGTGTGTGTGTGTGTGTGTGTGTGTATATGTGTGTGTGTGTAGTATGTATGTGTGTGTGTGTGTGTGTGTGTGTGTGTGTGTGTGTGTGTGTGTGTAGTGTGTGTGTGTGTGTGTGTGTGTGTGTGTGTGTGTGTGTGTGTGTGTGTGTAGTGTGTGTGTGTGTGTATTGTGTGTGTGTGTGTGTGTGTGTGTGTTAACAAGAATGAAATTATAACCAAATAAATATGGATTTTGATATAAAACATGTAAATAAACAACTAACCTAACCCCTAACTAATATGCATCTCGCGTGAGAATGAGACAGTTTTGGGAAAGGAGAGTAAATGAACAGAAAGACTGCCAATGTTGAGACCCCCCCCCACCCCCCCACCCCCCCCACCCCCCACCTCACCCCACCTCCCCACCCCCACCCCCCCCCCCCCCCCACACCTCTAACCCCTCCCCCCTCTTCCCCCTCCCCACCCCTCACCCTCCTCCCCCACCCTCCTCCCCCCACCCCCACCCTACCCCCCTCACCCCACCTCTTCCCCCACCTCCCCCCACCCCTCCCCCAACCCCCCCCCTTCCCCACCTCCCCCATTCCTCACCCCCCCTCACCCCCTCACTCCTCCTTCCCCCCCCTGTTCCCCTCCCCTCACCCCCCACCTCCTTCCCTCACCCTCCTTCCACACTCCTCGTTCCCCCACTCTCCCTCACCCCCTCCCCCCTCATCCCCTCCTTCCCCTCCTCCCCTCGTTCCCCTCACTCTCCCCCTCACCCCTCCTTCCCCCACCCCCTTCCCCTCACTCTCATTCCCTCCCTCTCCCCCTCACCCCTCCTTCCCCTCACCCCTCCTTCCCCACCCCGCCCCTCTCACCTCCCCTCACCCCTCCTTCCCCCCCATCCCTCCCCTCTCCTCACCCCCCAGTCTCCCCCTCTCACCCCCTCCTTCACATCTCACACACATCCCCTTCACAAGATATATGTCACCCGTCCTGAGAACTACACAGGGTCAGGTCAGGCCAGGTCAGGTTTTATTTCCAGAGCAAGCACACGCCTGCACACACACACACACACACACACACACACACACACACTCTACATCCTTGTCCACTGAAGGCGCCTCTGGGAGCAGCTAGGTCTACTGTTGTTGGCCCATAAATCCCCTCCCTGAACCCTCCCTCCCACCGGAATATCAACAAGTCTTCAGAAGTTACTATTTCATTTTAGGAAAGGAAATGGAGGTGAACAGTGGTGAACAGTGCCTGCTCAGTGAGAACCAAAGTCGTACCAGCTAACCTTCACACAGCGAGTCCCAGCATCCAGTGATAACTGCCCGTGAGACCAAACAACAACCAGCGATGTGTTAATCCGTCTGGCCTGGGACCACACCTCACCATAACACCATCTGTGAAACCCACACCACGTGAGGTCCCTCATAACACCATCTGTGAGGGAATTACTACACCACGAGGTCCCCATAACACCATCTGTAGGGAATTACTACACCACGTGAGGTCCCTCATAACACCATCTGTGAGGGCATTACTACACCATGTGAGCCCCTCATAACACCATCTGTGAGGGAATTCAAGCACACGGAGGTCCCTCATAACACCATCTGTGAGGGGAATTACTACACCACGAGGTCCTCATAACACCATCATCTGGAGGGAATTAATACACCATGAGGTCCCCAACACCATCTGTGAGGGCATTACTTACACCACGTGAGGTCCCTCATAACACCATCTGTGAGGGAATTACTTCACACCACGTGAGGTCCCCTCATAACACCATCTGTAAGGAATTACTACACCACGTGAGGTCCCCCATAACACCATCTGAGGGAATAACACACCACGCCAGGTCCCTATTACACCATCTGTAAGGGAATTACTACACCACGTGAGGTCCCTCATAACACCATCTGTGAGGGAACTACCACACTACGCCAGGTCCTCACTACACCACGTGAGACCCTGCATAACACCATCTGTGAGGGATCACACACCACGTGAGGCCCCTTAACACCATCTGTGAGGGAATTACTTCAATCACGCGAGGTCCTCATAACACCATCTGTGAGGGAATTACTACACCACGTGAGGTCCCTCATAACACCATCTGTAAGGGAATTACTACACCACGTGAGGTCCCTCATAACAGCATCTGTGAGGGAATTCACACCACGTGAGGTCCCTCATAATACCCATCTGTTAGGGAATTACTACACCACGTGAGGCCCTGCATAACACCATCTGTGAGGGAATTACTACACCACGTGAGGGTCTCTCATAACACCATCTGTGAGGAACCACACACCTCACGTGAGGCCCCTCATAACACCATCTGCGAGGGAATTACTACACCACGCCAGGTTCCTCTACACCATCTGAGGGAACTACTTTCACACACGAGTTCCTCCTAGCACCATCTGGGAGGGAGTTACACACCATGTTGTTGTTCAACACCTACATTACTCTGTATGTTCACTGCATGCCTTTTCACTCTTTCTAATGAAGGCTTTTGTTAAACCACCAATGTATGTAATAATATTTATGCCCAATATTTCTATAATAATAAACATACAAGTGCAGATGAATAATGAAATCTAGATGAAAATAAAAAAGTTTCTTAGAAATGAAAACACAAACTGAGAATTTGAACTTGGCGTGTGGTGAAGTTTTTATATTGAGGCAGAGGTACACGGGAGGAGTTGTTGTGGGTATGTTGGGTTGGTGAGGCCGGTTGGGTGGGGAGGGTGGGTGGGTAGAGGGTGGGTTGGGTGAGGTAGGTGAGGGTGGGGCTGGTGGGCTGGTGAGGCCGGGCTGGGTGAAGTGCCGGGTGAGGCTGGGCTGGGTGAGGGTGGGTTGGGTGAGGTTGGTGAGGGTGGGCTAAGGAGGCTGGGTGAGGTGGGTGGGTGAGGTGGGCTGGGTGAGGGTGGTGAGACGAATCATCTGAAGATTAGCGGTCTTAAATTTTTTCACCTCTGAAATCAGCCTAATTCTTATGCATTACATCTAACCTAACCCAATTATTACGTAAATCAAAGCTGCTTAACCTTACTAATTATAGTCTATCTTATTAACATTAACGTAAACTGTTACTTAAACTCAACCGAACCTTAACCCAACCAACCCAATCCCAACCTAAGCCAACCTTAACCCAACCTAACCTAACTCAATTCCAACTAACCTAACCTAATCCCAAGCCAACCTAACTCCAACTCAACTCCACCTTAACCTAAGCCAACCTTAACCTAAACCAACCTAATCCTAACCAACCTAACCACCCACCAGATAGTGTTGACCAGGTGAGATAAACTAGAGGTGGACTAACCCAGGAGGTAGAGGACACGTTACAAGGGAGGTGGTGGGTGGGAGGTGAGGTGGGGGAGGTGGGAGGTGAGGTGAGGTGAGGTGGGAGTGTGGTGGGGAGGTGGGGAGGTGGGTGTGGTGAGGTGGGGGAGGTGAGGTGAGGTGAGGGGAGGTGGAGGAGGTGAGGTGAGGTGGTGAGGTGAGGAGGTGGGTGAGGTGGGAGGTGGTGAGGGGTGGTGAGGTGGAGGGAGGTGTGGGTGAGGTGGTGAGGTGTGGTGGTGAGGTGAGGTTATTCTGGCTCACTTGACGTAGCTGAACATCTCCAACTTTTTCTCACAAAGGAAAACATAAGTGTGTGACGTCATATGTAAACAAACACTACAGGTGGATGGCTCCAGGTGAGGAGGAGTGAATTACACTTCTACTTCCGGGTTATGATGGGTTCTACTCCTGGACACCCGTTAGGTTAGATTGGGTCTGGGATGGGTTAGGTTAGCAAGTGACTGAACCTCTCTTTTAGTTTATTTTGTTTGAAGGAGAAAGTCGTATTTTGTGTAAAGGAAATTTTTTAATATGTACTAACGAGTATCGATAAACATGCACCTCGTGAGAGACTCGAACCGTTGTTCTTGGTTTTATGGCGAATTCATAGTTATGTTTTTGCACCACACCACTTGATGAACCAAGGCTGTGTTGCAGGTGACCCGGAGATAACACCGTGAGGCGTGTTCCTCCTGTAGCGGGGACTTAGGGCTGTGTTAACCTGAGGCTCGTGTGGGGTTGTCTCCATGATCTCATTTATGTTAACAGCACAGCACCGATAATGTGAGGTGTTCCCACCTTTACTGTGGTGGTGATGTTATTTGTGAGTCTGTGTACAGTGTTTTATGTGTAAGTTGATGTAGAGAGCGACTGTGATTGTTACTGTTGTTGTTGTTGTTGCAGGTTATCTGGGTGTGTATCCTGTGCCGGAAGAAGCAGGAGCTGCTCATCAAGACGGGCACCTGGATGAGCACTGGCCTGGCGCAACACGGGGAGATGATGCACCTTGAACACGACTTCTCAGGTACGGCGACGCCCGCCACCCCTACGGGCGACAAACGCCCCAAGCTGGAGCGTGGCACCAGCAGTGAGAAGGAGGGGAGCCCGCCCCACTAGGGGGACCCTGGGCCCCACCAGGGGGACCCTAAGGGACCCTGGGCCCCACCACTACCAGGGGGACCCGGCACAACACCACGCCACCATAGAGTCGCGGCCGCTACTACAGCGGGCAGGCAGCGCCCAGGGCCGTGAGCTGCAGTTCTCAGGAACAGAGGGGAGAGGAGCCACCCTCACCTCACGCCCGTGATCGGCCTGTGCCGCCCCCTGAGGCCTTCCGTACTTACGAGCATCCCGCGCCCTACGAGCAGCGGCCCGCGGGTCCAGATATTCGGGTGGAGCGAGGATACGGCGGAGGGTACGCGGGCAGTGGGTACGGCAGTGCTGGCTACAGCCCGGGCCTGGGGGCGCTGGGGTAGCAGCCCCATGGAGGGCAGCAGTCCTGGCCCGGTCTCTGTGGAGGGCAGCAGTCCGCACCCAGACGCGACCTCGCATCACCTGGACCCAGCTGCGGCTCCTGAGGCGCCGCACAGACCATGAGGAATGACTCTGTGTCGTCTGACCAGAAGGAGGTGTGTGCGGCCGCCCCCACCTGGCCACATAAGCACTGCACGAGAGGGCAAGGTTGCCTGTCCTCACGAGGAGGTCCGCTCAACTCCTGAGTGTACCTCCTGGTGAGAGCACGAGGCGATCTGAGAAGGGGTGAGTACGCCCGTCCTCTTTAACGTTGTTATATGTCACTGACCCACCGAGGGTCTTCATGCTATCATCCCTTCATTACCCTCCGGTCTCATACTGTAAAGTTACATTAAGTTAATACTGTAGTACATCGTCAGTCTGAAAAAAAAAGAACTTGTTGGAAAGTTGACGGATCTTCCTCCTCCCCCAGCAGGCGCACCCCACACCACCCTCTTAACTGTAACAATATCTTCACCTCCGTAGTTCCTCCCGCTGTTGTCACCAACATCCAGTATTACCCCTAAACCTTTTCTTGGCTGTCTGTCCTACACGCCTCCTCTCACCGCGTGTGTATGGAAGTCCTGTCTGGATGATCCCCAATGATCCTTACAGAAAATATTTTAAAAACTAATAAAATAACGAGACAAATAACTCCTTCTCTCACACGACGATACCACAATACCTCAGAAACTATCGTAACTAGTTGTCGTCTCTCCGTCCACGACAACAAACTTACCGTAGAGAATTGAGAACCCGAAATTAAGTTAATAAATGTTGAAGCTTATGAAACATCTCGGTACTCTGTGACTGGCAGGAGTTGTCTACTAGGTCCCCCCGGTAATGTCTTCCCGGTCCAGTACTATCCTCTTTAATCTAAACCACACAGCCAATACTACCTGTTTACTGTTTACTTCCCGGTACTTCATGGACACCATTACTTCCGGTACCATTAACCTGACACCATTACTTCCTGGTACCATTAACCAGACACCATTACTTCCGGTACCTTTAACCTGGAAATCATTACTTCGGTACCATTAACCTGACACCATTACTTCTGTACCATTATCCAGACACCATTACTTCCCGGTACCATTAACCTGACACCATTACTTCCCGGTACTATCCTGACACCATTCTCGTACCATTAACCTGACACCATTACTTCCCGGTACCATTAACCAGGACACCATTACTTCCTGGTACCATTAACCTGACACCATTACTTCCCGGTACCATTATCCAGGAATCATTACTCTTCCTGTACCATTATCCAGGACACCATTACTTCCCGTACCATTATCCAGGACACCATTATTTCCTGTACCATTATCCAGGACACCATTACTTCCCGGTACCATTATCCAGGACACCATTACTTCCCGCTATCCGAACATACTTCCGGTACCATTAACCTGACACCATTACTTCCCGGTACCTTAACCTGGACACCATTACTTCCGGTACCATTAACCTGACACCATTACTCCGGTACCATTATCCAGACACCATTACTTCCCGGTACCATTAACCTGACACCATTACTTCGGTACTATCCTGACACCATTACTTCCCGGTACTATCCGGACTTACTTCCCGGTACCATTATCCAGGACACCATTACTTCCGGTACCATTAACCTGACACCATTACTTCCCTGCCATTATCCAGGATTACCTTCCATTCCCGGTACCATTATCCAGGACACCATTACTTCCCGGTACCATTATCCAGGACACCATTACTTCCCGGTACCATTATCTCAGTACGGCTCTCCCTCCTCTTCCACCTCCTCCCTCCCCTGTCCCTCCTCCTCTCCCTTCCCTCCTCTCCCCCTTCCCTCCTCCCCCTTCTCCCTCTCCTCCCCCTTCTCCCTCCTCCTCCCCCTTCTCCCTCTCCTCCCCCCTTTCCCTCCCCCGGCTGTCACTACCTTCAGGTCCGCCGTCTGCAGTAGCGATTGCCCGGCTGGTGGGTCCATGGCCCACCACCTACACCATCACCTCCCTCCTCCCTCCTCCTCCTCCCTCCTCTTCTCCTCCTCCCTCCTCCTCCTCCTCCTCCCCTCCTCCTCCTCCTCCTCCTCCTCCTCCTCCCTCCTCCTCCTCCTCCTCCTCCCTCCTCCTCCTCCTCCTCCTCCTCCTCCTCCTCCTCCTCTTCTCCTCTTCCTCCTCCTTCTCCTCTTCTTCCTCCTCCTCATCCCCTCCCTTTCTCCTCCTCCTCCTCTTCCTCTTCCTCCTTCTTCCCTCCTCCTCCCTCCTCTTCTTCCTCCTCCTCCTCCTCCTCCTCCTCCTCCTCCTCCTCCTCCTCCTCCCCTCCCTCCTCCTCCCTCCCTCCTCTTCCTCCTCCTCCTCCTCCTCCTTCTTTCTTCCTCCCTCCTATCCCTCCTCTTTCTCCCTCCCTCCCTCCTCTCTCCTTCTTTCCTCTCTTCTTCCTCCTCCCTCCTCCTCCTTCTCTCTCCTCCTCCCTCCTCCTCCTCTCCTCCCTCCTCCTCCCTCCTCCTCCTCCTCCTCCTCCTCTCCCTCCTCCTTCCTCCTCCTCCTCCTCCTCCTCCTCCTCCTCCTCCTCCTCCTCCTCCTCCTCCTCCTCTTCCTCTTCCTCCTCCTTTTCTCCTCTTTCTTTTCCTCCTCCTCATCCCTCCTCTCCTCCTCCCTCCTCTTCTCTCTCTTCCTCCTTCTCTTCCTCCCTCCTCCTCCCTCCTCTCTTCCTCCTCCTCCTCCTCCTCCTCCTCTCTCCTCCTCCTCCTCCTCCTCCTCCACCCCTCTCTCCCCCACCACCACTCCCTCTCTCTCCTTATTTTCCACTAATTCTCGCCTTTACTGTTCTCTCTCTCTCTCTCACACCCACATCTCTCTCTTGTATACATTTCTTTATATTTTCTTTTTTTGTTAATATATTTGATCTTGTTAATCGCTGTTGTTATCTTGTTATGGTTAAGATCTATTGTTAATATATTTGTTAATCTGTTGTAAATCTGTTGTTAATTCTCTTGTTAATCTGTTATTAATCTCTGTTGTTAACCTGTTGTTATTCTTTGTTAACCTTTTGTTGTTAATCTGTTGTTAATCTGTTAATATCTTGTTAATCTGTTGTTAATCTATTGTTATTCTGTTGTTAATTTCGTTGTTAAGCTCTGTTGTTAATCTGTTGTTAATATGTTGTTAAACTCTTGCTAAGTTCTGTTGTTAATCTGTTGTTAATTTCTGTTGTTAATCTGTTGTTAATCTGTTGTTAAACTCTTTTGTTAGGTTCTGTTGTTAATCTGTTGTTCTGTTGTTAATCTTTTGTTAATCTGTTGTTAATCTGTTGTTAATTTTTGTTAATTTATTTTGTTAATCTCTGTTGTTAATCTGTTGTTAATCTGTTGTTAATCTGTTGTTGGTACTCTTGCTGTAATCTGTTGTTAATCTCTGTTGTTAATCTGTTATTCTGTTGTTAATCTCTGTTGTTAATCTCTTTGTTAATCTCTGTTGTTAATCTGTTAATCTCTGTTGTTAATCTGTTGTTAACTTTGTTGCTCTGTTGTTAATCTGTTGTTAAGTCTTGTTGTTAATCTGTAGTTAACTTGTTAAGCTCTGTTGTTAATCTGTTGTTAACTTTGTTGCTTCTGTTGTTAATCTGTTGTTAAGCCTTTGTTAATCTGTTGTTAAGTCTCTGTTGTTAATCTGTTGTTAAGTTCTGTTGTTAATCTGTTGTTAACTTTGTTGCTCTGTTGTTAATCTGTTGTTAAGTCTGTTGTTAATCTGTGTTAATCTGTTAAGTTCTGTTGTTAATCTGTTGTTAATCTCTTTGTTAATCTGTTGTTAATCTGTTGTTGCTCTGTTGTTAATCTGTTGTTAATCTGTTAAGTTCTTGTTAATCTCTTTTGTTAATCTGTTGTTAATCTGTTGTTAAGTTCTGTTGTTAATCTGTTGTTAATCTCTTTTGTTAAGCTCTGTTGTTAATCTGTTGTTAATCTGTTGTTAATCTCTTGTTGCTCTGTTGTTAATCTGTTGTTAATCTGTTAAGTTCTGTTGTTAATCTGTTGTTAAGCTCTTTGTTGCTTCTGTTGTTAAGTTCTGTTGTTAATCTGTTGTTGCCTGTTGTTAAGCCTGTTGTTAATCTGTTGTTAAGTTCTGTTGTTAATCTGTTGTTAAGTTCTGTTGTTAATCTGTTGTTAATCTTGTTAAGTTCTGTTGTTAATCTGTTGTTAATCTCTTTGTTAATCTGTTGTTAAGTTCTGTTGTTAATCTGTTGTTAAGTTCTGTTGTTCTCTCTATGTCACGTTTCGTTAATCAGTCTTGTAAAGCCATCGTTGTTAACCTCCCCTATGTTAATCATCCTCGTTAAATTTATGTTAATGTTCGTACGTCTTTGAGAAGTGACATTAAACTCTCTCGTTAAACTTCCTTCGTTAAACACTTGTAGTTAACCCGTGTTCATCTCGTTGTTCATCTATGAGGTGTGTTTGTTAAAGATCATTCAACCAATAAGAGAGGAGAAGGGAGGATATGATGTCATAGGTCTGATCAT